GCCTACAAACTTCGGTCCCAATTTTCTTGACGGACACAACATTTTCAAATTTGTTGTTGCCAACCAGACCTTATCCCCAGGCTGCAGCACCAGGTCCCCCCTTCGTTTCTTATAAAACGCCTTCTTGTTATCCTCCTGGGCCCTCGCGATGGCCTCCTGCAGTAGTTTGTTGTTGGAGGAAAAAAATGCAAGTGCGTCTTGTGTTGCTGGAACTGGGCATTCCGAGACCAGATCAGGGAGAAAGATAGGATGAAATCCGTAGTTTGAAAAAAAACGGGGATTGCCCCGTTGCCGAATGGTTAGTGTTATTATAGGCAAATTCTGCCAGGGGTAAGAGCGATAGCCAGTCATCCTGTAGGAAGGAAGTGTAACAACGCAGGTATTGCTCCAGGGTCTGGTTCGTCCGCTCTGTTTGTCCGTTGGTCTGCGGGTGGAATGCGGAGGAGAGGGATAACTTGATATCCAATGCCTTGCATAGGGCTCTCCAAAACTTAGACGTAAATTGAACCCCTCGGTCGGATACAATGTCTTCTGGGACTCCATGTAGTCTTACAATTTCCTGAATAAAAACTCGTGCAGTTTCGGATGCTGACGGGGTATTCTTCAATGGCAAGAAGTGGGCCATCTTAGATAGTCGATCGATGACCACGAGGATGGCGGTGTGGCCTTGGGATGGAGGGAGCTTGACTATAAAGTCCATTGCGATCTTCTGCCATGGTCGTTCGGGGATCGGCAGAGGTCGCAGCAGTCCCCAAGCCTTGCTCCTTGAAGGTTTGTTCCTTTGGCAGAGAGTGCAGGAATTCACATAACGTTTGCAGTCCTTTGCCATGTTTGGCCACCAAAAAGAACGTTGAAGAAGCTCCAGGGTCTTTGCTGGGCCAAAGTGTCCCGCCATCGGGTGGTCGTGACAATGTCCCAAAACCTGGGTTCGGACCTCTTCCGGCACCACGATCAACCCCTCCTTCCATAGGAGTCCCCCCTTGTTCTGGAGGGACACCCCAGGAAGGGTTGACATAGCTGTGGATGCGTCCATCAGCTTTGACCGTAGATCTGTCTGGAGGGCCAAGAAGTTCCCTGAGGATAGAATGGTATCGGGAGTTGGTTCTTCCTTGGGGTCCTCGAACATGCGTGACAGCGCGTCGGGTTTCGTGTTCTTGGACCCCGGTCTGTAGGTAATATGAAATGTGAACCTGGAGAAAAACAGTGCCCATCTTGCCTGGCGTGGGCGTAACCGCTTGGCAGTTCTCAGATACTCGAGGTTCTTATGGTCGGTGAAGATCAAAATAGGGTGTGTGGCACCTTCCAGCAAGTACCTCCATTCTTCTAGTGCCGTCTTGATGGCCAACAATTCACGATCGCCAATATCATAATTCTTCTCGGCTGGAGTAAGCTTCCTGGAAAAGAACGCTACGGGATGTAGAAGTTCTTTGGGGCCTCTCCGCTGGGACAGGATGGAGCCCACTGCGTTCTCGGACGCATCTACTTCCAAGATGTATGACAGGGAAGCATCTGGATGGCCCAGAATGGGTGCCGTAGTAAACAGCTTCTTCAGGGCTTCAAAAGCTCCCTGGGCCTCCGGCGTCTATTGGAAACGGTTCCAAGCTTGGTTAACTGAGTTATGGGGAGACCAGACCCGAGAAGTTCCTAATGAATTTCAGATAGAAATTTGCGAACCCAACAAAACGCTGGACGCCCTTTTTATCCGTGGGCGCAGGCCAATCCAAAATTGCAGAGACCTTCTGAGGGTGCATCGCGACCCCCGTGGTGGAGATAATCAGACCCAAAAACGTGATGCTAGACTGCTCAAAGCTGCACTTGTCAGCCTTGGCATACAACCCATGCTGGCGCAACCTCCTTAATACTTTTGCCACGTGTATCCTATGATCCTTCAATGAGGGTGAAAAGATCAGTATGTCATCTAGGTATACGATTACAAAAATGTCGAGGTAATCCCTGAACACATCGTTCACGAAATGCTGAAATGTGGCTGGGGCATTGCACAGCCCAAATGGCATGACCAGGTATTCAAAGTGCCCAAACCGGGTACGGAATGCCGTCTTCCACTCGTCCCCCTCTCTTATGCGGACCAGGTTATAGGCCCCCCTCAGATCCAATTTAGTAAATATGGCCGCAGACTTCAGGCTCTGAAATAGCTCTGGAACCAGGGGCAAAGGGTAACGATTTTTAATCGTGACTTTGTTTAACTCACGATAATCGATGCAGGGTCTTAGTGATTTGTCTTTTTTCTCCACAAAGAAGATTCCCGCCCCTGCTGGTGACGTGGAGGGGCGGATGAATCCCTTTTGGAGACTATCCTCAATATATTCCTTCAGGGTCCCCAATTCACGTTCAGATAGGGGGAAAATCCACCCAAAAGGAATCTCGGCCCCAGGCAACAGGTCGATGGGACAGTCATAGGGGCGGTGGGGGGGGCAGGGTCTCTGCCCCTCGCTTACTGAAAACGTCCAAGAAATCATGATATACTGCGGGAATAACCTGTTTAAGGTCTGAGTCCCCTTCAGAGCATAGCAGGACCTGGGGGGTTGCTGGGCCCGATGTGCGACAGTGTCCCTGACAGTATGGAGAAGGGAACTGTATAGAGCCAGTTTCCCAGTCAATCTGGGGGTTATGAGCCCGCAACCAAGGGAGCCCCAGAATGACTGGGAAAAGGGGTGACGCAATGGCATCTAGGCGGAGGAACTCCTGGTGCTGATTGGCAATTGTGGTGGCGATAAGGGGGGTCTCCTGATTAACCATTCCAGATTTAATCTGGGAGCCATCTGCCAAAAATATGTTAAAACCCCTCTTTCTGGGCTGAAGGGGAATCCCCTGCCGGTGGGCGAAGTCTAAATCCAGAAAACAACTGCACGCCCCCGAGTCGACTATGGCTGTCACCTCCACAATCCTTTCTGGGAGCTGAAAGGAGAGGGGGACAACCAAGTACTGGGAGGGACTGATATTGCCAATAGAAAGGGAAGAAAAGGAGGTTGACTTACTCATTTTCAGAGGGCAGGATCGCACCATATGACCGGCTTCGCCACAGTAAAGGCAGAGGTTCAGGGATCTTCTCCGCTGGTGTTCCTCGGGTGATAATTTAGGCCGAGCCAGACCCAGCTGCATTGGTTCCTGAGTGTCTCCGGACGGTGGGCTCTGAGTATTCCGTCTGGCTAGTGGATCGGGCCCTTGGACCGGAGCCCATGCATTTCCGCGACCCTGACCGGCCCTCTCACATCTGCGTTCCCGCAGTCTCCGGTCGATTTGAATTGTCAGCGTAATAAGGTCTTCTAAGGACTCGGGTACCCCTACTCGGGCCAGCTCGTCTTTCAGAGAGTCCGAAAGACCCATACGGAACTGGTGTCGCAGAGCAACCTCGTTCCAGCGTGTGTCCCCCATCCAACGTCTAAATTCTGAGGCATACTCCTCCGCCGCCCTGCGGCCCTGTCTAAGCGTGTATAGCGTCGCTTCGGCGGAGGCTGCCCGCTGTGGGTCATCGTACAAGGTGGCCATTGCCCCAAAAAAGTCATTTACCGTCCCTAGGTGAGGGTCACGGTTTTCCCTTAACCGATGGGCCCAGTCCTGGGGTTCGTCCTGCAATAGGGAGATGATAAATCCCACCTTAACCGATTCAGTCACGAAGGTGCGGGGTTGTAACTCAAAAAATAGGAGGCATGAATCACGAAAAGACCGGAAGCGAGTGCGGTCTCCGCGAAAAACGCTCCGGCAAGGGTACTCGGGGTTCTGCCATAGTAGGTGAAGCAGACACCCCCGTGGCCGGCTCAGCAGCCTCTCCAGCTGGAGGCGCAGAGTCAGATGCCTGTGGGGTAGGATCAGATACCGGGAGGGTCTGGAAGCTGTTTTCCAGATGCATGTACCTGTCCTGCAGGGCCGCTACACCCTGTGTCAGGGCCGACAGGTGCCTGCAAATCTCTTCCAGCGGGGCGGACCCTCCTCCAGGCTCAGTCATGGCCTTCTGGTACTGTAAGGGACCGCCTGACGGTACCACTAGCACTCCACTGATTAGTCGCACCCAGGGCACGGAGTCTAAGCCCCAGAGTACTTGTTCACCAGAGCCCCTGATGGTGGGGATGGACTTGGAGTACCCTGAGACCAGGTCGTGGCCCCTGAGTATGCCTGTCAGTGGGAGGGGTATTCGCCAGGGGCTCCCACGGGGAAGAGCCTGATGTGAGGAGGTCGGAAGACCCCGGTGGGATGGATGGATGGATGGATGATGAGCAGGTGCAAGGTCAGACAAGCCGGGTCGGTAACAGTGGGGACAGTGCGGTACAAAGCAGCGGGCAGAGAATAGTCGGGTCACACGCCAGGTCAGCAACAGGAGGTCAGATCTAGTAAGCGGCATCCAGGAGAGAGGTCAGGCAAGCCAGGGGTCAGGGTAGGAGAATGCAGCAAGGGTCAGGTCCAATCCGGGTCAGCAACTTACAGGAAACAGGATCACAGGTACAGGTATGCAGAAGAGACCAGAAGGCACTGAATGACAGCTCAGGGCCGTTTAAATATCGCGCCCTGCACTGTCATTGGTGCCCGGCGCGCGACCGCGGTTCCTACTGCGCATGCGCAAGCCCGAATGCCGCGGTCGGCCAGGAACTGATGCCCGCGTCCCTGCCGAGAGCGGAGCACTGCGCCTGCGCCGGGACCAGCGCCGCGGGGATCCCTGACACTTGCTTTGTGCACTGGTGCGCAGTCATGTTAGAACAGGAAGGGGCCATCCCCAAACTGTTCCCACAAAGTTTGCAGCATGAAACTGTCCAAAATGTCTTGGTATGCTGATGCTTTAAGAGTTCCCTTCACTGGAACTAAGGGGCCAAGCCCAACCCCTGAAAAACAACCCCACACCATAATCCCCCCTCCACCAAACGTTACACTTGGCACAATGCAGTCAGGCAAGCTCTGTTCTCCTGGCAACCGCCAAGCCCAGACACGTTCATTGGATTGCCAGACAGAGGAGCGTGATTCGTCACTCCAGAGAACACGTCTCCACTTCTCTAGAGTCCAGTGGCGTCGTACTTTATACCACTGCATCCAACGCTTTGCATTACATTTGGTGATGTAAGACTTGGATGCAGCTCCTTAGCTATGGAAACCCATTCCATGAAGCTCTCTATGCACTGTTGTGCTAATCTGAAGGCCGTATGAAGTTTGGAGGTCTTTAGCTATTGAGTCTGCAGCCAGTTGGTGACTTCTGCGCACTGTGCGCTTCAGCATGTGCTGACCCGCTCTGTCATTTTACGTGGCCTACCACTTCGTGGCTGAGTTGCTGTTGTTCCCAGTTGCTTCCACTCTGTTATAATACTACTAACAGTTGACCATGGAATATTTAGTAGCAAGGAAATTTCACGGATGGACTTATTACACAGGTGACAACCTATCACTCTTGAATTCATGGAGCTCCCATTCTTTCACAAATGTTTGCATGCTTAGGTACTTGATTTTATACACCTGTGCCCATGGAGGTGATTGGAACACCAGAATCCAATGATTTGGAGGGGTGTCCCAATACTTTTGGCAATATAGTGTATATCATATATCAATTCATGAAAGATCTGCAGGAGTTTTCTTGCTGTTTTCTATGAATGCAACAAATTCAGGTAGTTATGTGTGACAATTTTACATTCTGGTATTATGGCTGTGACAGATTCATAAATAAATCCTGCCATGTAGGTGACAAAGTGGAGGTAAATAAGACTTGTTCCATGTTGGAGCAAATTGTGTAACATTTGTAAGTATTGTATTGCAGACAAAATTCTGCCTGTGGCATTTCTGCAGATTGATAAAACAGATTTATAAACTGACTCTTTATGAATTCCAGGATGGAGATTCAGTAAGGCATTTGTGACACATTTCTAGTGGTATACAATACATAATACAGTGCAGCGCTGTAAATAATCAACCTAAAAATATATAACTTTTGTGCATAAAAAGAAACCATAATATAATGATGTGCTCTAGTGTCCTTCAAAAAATCAAACACGTAAAAATAAAAAAAACCTAAAAGTCCAGATCTATGTTGGAAAAATGTCCTTTATGCTGGAAATCAATAATCATTCCACACTATTAAATAGAAATCCACCGCTGCTCACTTTAACCTTTACCATGTGATCACAATTGCACCCAGAGAGTGCTAACACCTTCTTTAACCACTAGCCTACAGGGCACTTATACCCCCTTCCTGCCCAGGCCAATTTCCAGCTTTCAGCGTTCTCACACTTTGAATGACAATTGCGCGGTCATGCAACACTGTACCCATATGAAATTTTTATACTTTTTTGTGACAGAGCTTTATTTTGGTGGTATTGATCACCTCTGGTTTTTTATTTATTCTTAAACCAAAAACCACTGAAAATTTTGAAAAAAAAAAAAGTTTTTTCTTAGTTTGTTATAAAATTTTGTAAATAAGTGATTTTTCTCCTTCACTGATGTGCACTAATGAGGCTGCAGTGATGGGCACTGATAGGCTGCACTGATGGACACTGATAGGTGGCACTAATGGGCACTGATGAGGAGGCACTGGTAGGTGGCACTGATGGGTATTGACAGGCATCACTGATGGGCACTGAAAGGCAGCACTGATATATGGCACTGATGCACACTGATAGGCGGCACTGATGCACACTGATAGATGGCACTGATAGGTGGGACTGATTGGCAGCACTGATAGGTGGCACTGATGGGTGACACTGAAAGACAGCTCAGATGGGCACTTATACGTGGCATTGATGTGGCACTGATGGACACTGGCACATGGCACTGTTCAGCACTGACAGCTGGCACTGATGGACACTGACAGGTGGCACTTCTGGGGCCACACTGATCATCAGGGCACACTGATCATTCCCCTCCTCAGAATGCCGATTACCGGCTCTCCTCTCCTCTCGAGCTGTCAGCGTGACAGCTTGAGAGGAGAGAAATGCCGATAACTGGCATATACCTGTTTACATGTGATCAGCTGTGATTGGACACAGCTGATCACATGACCGAACCAACATCTTCGGCTCTTTCCATGGACACAGCGAACCGTCGATCGCCGCGCATGCGTGGTGAGAATGGGAGGATGTCATATGACGTCCTCCCAGAATGGGAGAACCACCTTGCGCCCATCATTGGACTATTTGGCGGGCAGGAGGTGGTTAAACCCATATGGAAGAAAAACATTTAAAATATATTTTAAAAATTTTCTTCCCAGATATATTGACATATATTTGAAATGCTACAATTTTGGCCATATTCAATATATATATATATATATATATATATATCACACTGTATGTTGAAATGCGTTTCTTATTACAAAATATATTTAAAAATACATTTCAAATATACTGTATATCTTTAAAAACACAAATCTACATTTTTGGAATGCATTTACAAATATATTTTTTATATAATGAAAAAAATCTGAAGAGTATATTTAAAAAAATATATATTTTTAAAAAGCATTGTAGCATTTCAAATATGTCAATATATTTGGGAAGAATATTTTTAAAATATATTTTTCTTCCATGTGGGAATGACCTCTATATATTAAAGGCCATAGAACACTTTTCTTCCTCTATTAAAGAGGAGTTCGTCTCCTCCCAAAAAATTAAGTCAGCAGCTACAAATTTTAATATAAGGGCACTTATGTGTCCATGGATCCAGCGATGTCCTCACCCGAGCCAATTCTTCAATCGACTTTGGGTGCAGACACTAGCATCTTGGTGAAGTTGGTAAAGTTTTCCAGCTTCACAGCTGGTTTCCTACTACGTGTGCACAAGCCGCTCTGCACTTTGTGAATGGTCCTGTAGTCTTCTGGGACCTGTGTGACCCAGAAGGCTGTGGGGGGGGAGGAAATTCTTCACAGATTGCCATGGCGCTCTGACCCGGAAGTGGGAGCAGGTACCTGTCAAAACCAGGTACACACTCCCCCCCCCAAAAAAAAAGTGCCAAATGTGGAGGTGGGGAGGATGTAAACCAGTGGAACTTCCCCTCATGGGTGAAGTTCCGCATTAGGCATAGTACCAACCAGGGGCGGACTGACCATTTGGAATCTCGGGCACTGCCCGAGGGCCCAGGGTCAGTAGGGGGCCCCATGAGATGCCCCTGGTACCTTTTTTTTCATAGGCTTTTTTGAGTTTGGGCAAGGACACAGGGGCCCCATGATCCCCTATTGCCTGGGGGCCCCATGAATTGTCAGTCCGCCCCTGGTACCAACTTCTCTTTTCAACCTCTCCTCTCCTTCTCCTGGGGTATATCATTCAGAAAAAAACATAGAGAACTTTCATAATGCTTTCTATAATATAAAATGTATTTATTAAAAGCATGAACCCATATACACTCACATGTAATAGTGCACTACAGCCCTTAGTGTACAGAAGTAAAGAACTCTCTTTTCCTCATAATATCCTCCATGTATACTGTATCTACACTGTCATCGCGCCATTACTGCATTCAAAAACAGAGTCATATATCACTCCAGTGGCTGTAAAGGTGAATTTTATGAGGAAAAGAATGCGCTTTACTTGTATGCATGTGAGTGTATATGGTTGTATGTTTGTAATAAATACATTTTATATTATGGAAAGCACTATGAGAGTTCTATATGTTTTTGTTCTTAGTGATATCACCAGGGCTGCCGATAAGGGGGTACCACCAGCTCTTCTATACAGAGATCCTGGACGGGGAGGGTGATTGGTATGGGGGGGTAATTACTGGTACTGATCTCCGTCTGTTTCTCCTGCAGCAGCTCCACTCCCTCCCACCAGCTTTCACCTGCTGCAAAAGAACCACAGAGGGATTGGTTCCATTAATCCCCCCCGCACTGAACACCTTCCCTGTCCATGATCTGATTCCCCCTGTTCACTGGGTCCCCTATGTGCCTCTTTTTCCCCGTAGCACTGCCAGCTTTTCCTCCTATCCCTCCAGCCAGCTGCTGTGGGCTCACAGGGGGATTGTATCGGGAGCACAAGTCCTGTCCCCCTTCTAACACTACCCCCCCTCCCCCAAATCTCCTCTCCCAGCACAAATCCTCCCCCCACTAGATGTGCACACCAAAAATTTTAGGTTAATTTTGTATGAATTAATTCACTGAAGAATTTGCTTTTGTCATATTTGTTATGTTGACCTGATTCATTTTCAGAATTTGTTTTGTATTTTTTGGCATTCGTTTCATATACTCATTGGCCCTGGTGGATTTGAAAAATTTTGCAGTTTTTCTGGAAGATTGCTATATATTCGATACATTATCAAATTGGATGGATTGGATTTGGAAGGATTCAATATTTTTGGACACTAGTCCAACCCACCAACAAAATGACGTGAGCTGGAATGAAATTCGGATCCATTCATTATCCTGATCCGAATTATCAAACAAATTTGAAAATTTTAATAATTTTCCTAATAGCCCAACTATCATATCATGTGATGTCACCTGAATGAAAGCAATGCATTAGTTAATTAAAACTTTTTTCGTATTTGTTGACATTCCTTACTATGTCATTCAGAGATTCGTATACATCCAAATCTCCATTAAAATAATTTTCATCCAAAAAACAAATTGAAAGGTACATTTCTACTCCCCACTTCTAGCATAAATTCTCCCCGCCAAATCTTCCTTCGAGTACAAATGCCCCCCCCCTCCAAATCTCCCCTCCAATCCCCCCTTCCAGCACAAATCCCCCTCCCCAACACAAATTCGTTCCCCCCCCCCCCAGCACATACAGTCATGGCCGAAATTGTTGGCACCCTTGATATTTTTCCTGAAAATCAAGTATTTCACACAAAAAAAGGTATTGCATTAACACATGTTTTGCTATACACATGTTTATTCCCTTTGTATGTATTGGAACAAATATAAAACAGAGGCAGAAAAGCAAATATGACATAATGTCACACAAAAAACCCCAAAAATGGGCTGGACAAAAGTATTGGCACCCTTAACTTAATATTTGGTTGCACACCCTTTGGAAAACATAACTGAAATCAGTCGCTTCCTATAACCATCAATAAGCTTCTGACACCTCTCACCCGGAATTTTGGACCACTCTTCCTTTGCAAACAGCTCCAGGTCTCTCTTATTGGAAGGACACCTTTTCCCAACAGCAATTTTAAGATCTCTCCACAGGTGTTCAATGGGATTTAGATCTGGGCTCATTGCTGGCCACTTCAGAACTCTCCAGCGCTTCTTTGCCATCCATTTCTGAGTGCTTTTTGACGTATGTTTGGGGTCATTGTCCTGCTGGAAGACCCAGGATCTTGGACGCAAACCCAGCTTTCTGACACTGGGCCCTACAGTGCGACCCAAAATCTTTGGTAATCCTCAGATTTCATGATGCCTTGCACACAGTCAAGGCACCCAGTGCCAGAGGCAGCAAAACAACCCCAAAACATCATTGAACCTCCACCATATTTTACCGTAGGTACTGTGTTTTGTTCTTT